AAGGATCCTAGGTGCATTTATGCTGTCGAAATAATAATGCCCTTTGACACAACTTTAACTGCCATGGTGCCTTGTCGTCCGCTGGCATAAAACCAGAAAGGAATTCTTCCTTTTCCACCGACAGTTTCTGTTCCTCTCTCTAGACGATTATGTCGACTTGGCCTCCACATTTTCCCTGAGCAACCTCCTGCCCAACATGGCCTTACTCTCAAAATATTACCGCTACAAGGGTTCCCTCACTACTCCGAGCTGTGATGAAGTGGTCACCTGGACTGTCTTTGAAGAACAGATCCCCATCAGCAAGCCACAGGTAACCATCGCAACCCTTTCCATGCCAGGGATCTGCATTGACTCCCCTTTAGAACCACAGGGTTTATCTCTATACTGTAGAAATAATGTCGTTTGACACTACTTTAAGTGCTGTAGCTCCCTCCTATGAAGCCCTGGGGTTTGTAGTTTTACAAAGTTTTTAGCCTTCCCTGCCAAACAGTGCTGGTACCTCACCCAACTACAAATCCCAAGATTCTGTAGGATGGTGCCATGGCAGTTAAAGGGGTGTCCAATTGCATTATTTCTACAGTGTCGATGCACCTATAGAATCATAGAGCTGGAAGAGGCCATGAAGGCCATCCAGTCCATGGAATCATAAAGTTGGAAGAAGCCATGAGGGCCATCTAGTCAATGAAATCATTGAGTTGGCAGAGGCCATGAGGGGCATCCAGTCCATGGAATCATAGAGTTGGAAGAAGCTATGAGGGCCATCTAGTCAATGAAATCATGGAGTTGGAAGAAGCTATGAGGGGCAACCAGTCCATGGAATCATAGAGCTGGAAGAGGCCATGAGGGCCATTCTGCCAACCTGCTTCAGTCATGTAGGAAGACAAATCAAAGCATTCTCAGTCCCGACCGATGACCCCATGGCATTGCTTCCCCCACTCAATAACCTTCTCTCACTTTTCTTTGTTCAGCTGAATGCCTTCGTGAACACCCTTCACTTCAGAAAGGTCGGAACTATGTCCCTGAAGATGACCAACAATTTCCGTCCCGTCCAGCCTCTTCACAGTCGCAAAGTCTTTGCCTCCAAAGATGCCACCATCAGCTGCTGCTCGCCACTTGCTGCCAGTCTCTTCTTCCCTCTCTTTTTGGCTTTTTTGGCTGGCCAGTTCTCGTGGCCTTCCTAGCCCTCTTCACAGACGGTTGAGGTCCCTCAGGAGTGATTGATCCTTCATGGCGTCTCCATCCCCATGCTTCTTCACTGGGAACCTTTTTGAGCCATTGGGTTGGATCAAGACTTGGCCGTGCAGACCCCCTGAAATTAGTAGGCCTTCCATGCGTCACACCTTCTTCTTTCTCCCATTGATTTCAGGAGGTCTACTCTGAGCCCAATTAAATCTGGATCCAAACCGTTGGCGTTGAACAGTGCATGAGTTGGAAGCAAAGAGATCAGGGAAACATACAATGTCTGATTGCTATGTTTGTTGGTGTCGGAAGAGTTGCTTTTGTCCCGCTAAGACACCCTTGTACTCCTTGTAGGTGGTAGGTAGTTCAGCCGAAATCAAAGGAATCCCATGCCACCGATGCGCCATGTTGGAGCAGGCATGGGATGAGAGTTGTGCAGATCTTCTCACCATGGCTGGTTACTGGCATGTGCCAGGGAGCATGTGGGACCATGGCGCACAAAGCACCTTTCCATCTGAATGTGAAGCAAATGCTACAATGGTGTACATTTGACACAATAATGAATAAATCCAGAGTTCTTAATTTTTCCATGAGCAAGGCCAACGCCACAGTCAGTTCTGTCAATGTCTTGCAAACTAAACTCCACCATGCGGGGCGGTATATTTTAGGACCAGGGGTGATGTTCAGCCAGGATCTTCTTTCTTCTAATGTGAATCTGTGGGTTCAGGTCTTATCTACTGGAGCAAAAAACAATCGCATCCCATCTTCTATGTGACAGACCTTCAGATATTTAAAAATAGCAGCCGAGATCCTGCATCGCTGTCTGTGGGTGCATCTACGCTGTAGAAATAATGCACTTTGATTCCACTTTAAGTGTTGCAGCTCCATCCTATGGAATCCTGGAATTTGTGGTTTCACAAGGTCTTGAGCCTTCTCTGCCAAAGAGTGCTGGTGCCTCACCAAACGACAAATCCCAGGATTTGGGTGGATGGAGCCATGGGAGTTAAAGTGTTGTCAAATGGTATTATTTCTACACAGTGTAGATGCACCAGAAAGTGTTGATATAGATGCACCAGAAAGAGCCAATGTAGGGTGGTGGTTCAATCTTTTTTTTAAAAGATGGGCTAAACATACTCAACTCCTTCATTTATTCCTCATCGGGCTTGTTCTCCAAATCTTTTACCGTCTTGGTCACCCTTGGCAATATTCTTCTTAAACTGTGGCCTCCAGAAATGGGCAGAGTACTCCAGGTGACATCTGACCAAAGCAGAATAGAGTAAGTAGGGCTACTTCCTTTGATTAGGACAATATGATTCAATTAATGACATCTGGAATTGCACTGGCTTTATTTGCTGCTGCATCACACCCTTGACTCTGGTTAAGAGTGCTCCCCAAAAACGTGTCAATCTGGATGTGAAGAGATAAAACAAAACCTTGGGTGGGAGAGAGGACGGCAGCGGAACAAGATGGAAAAGCTGGCTCCTGCAGTATTGAATCGCTATAACGGCAGACTATGCCGGGTGTTATGCTATAATTTAAGACACTTGATAACAGAAACTGTCAGACAGGGACATGTTGCATATTAACCTTGCCGAGGCATAGCAATAATCGCAAGATTGATGCCATGTATCCATGACTAGGGGTTTGCAGAGATTTGTCTAGCTGGAATGGCCTAGATAACACTTCCACAATCAAATCCTCTCCAGAGCAACACTCCGCTTTATAGATAGCTGTGTATGAACAACACATCCAGAGCTGGGGAAATTATTTTAAATTATTATTATTTACCTCCAAGATGGGGGACATTTGTCACCATGGAAGAGGTCGAAATCTGGCCTCTGGACCCACCAATGGAGCTTGGGGCTGCCGAGGATGGCAATGGCAAACCCCCTCTGAACAAATCTGTCCAAGAATACCCCAGGACAGGTTTGCCTTAGGGTTGCCATCCATGGGGAAAGACTTGAAGGCACACAGCAACCACAACAAGCCCTTCTAAGCCAGGGATGGACATGCTCCGTAGTTTGGAAGGCTGCTCCAACCTGGGTTTATTTTATTATGACATTTTGGGTTCCTCTGGCTGAGTTCTGGAGAGCCAAGTCACAACATCGCGGCTGCCATTTGAGGTCCACAGAAATGATGAGCATCCCTTCCTTTCGTTTGGGTTATTTTTTTGGGTGGGTGGGCTGTATTGGGGTGAACAGCCCCCTGAAACAGCATGAAATAACCCCACAAAGTCCCCTTCACAACTGTGCACACATCTTTCTTTCTTTCTTTCTTTCTTTCTTTCTTTCTTTCTTTCTTTCTTTCTTTCTTTCTTTCTTTCTTTTGAGCATTGAAAACCAACATGTTTGGCCAAATATTGTCTATGTGCATGTGTGTGTGTGTGCCAGGACTTTTGCAGGGGAGTCAATGGGGGATTCCTCACTGGACCCCTTCCCCCAGGCTGCAGGGGACCATGGGCCATGCAGTGCCCATCCTTGCTATGAACTCTGGAGAGCGGAGCACTTGTGTGGATGTTCAGAAAAGCAAGAGAGAATGCTCACAACAAGCGCCTGACCTTGCCGGAACGGTTGGAGGACAGCTCATTCTGGGAGGAGGATGAAAGAGGCAAAAGATGCCTGTCGATGCAAATTGAGAAATAATGACCAATTTGCATAGAAATACGGTGCTCCTCTCCATAGTGGGGAAGACTGTGATATGCCCTCCAACGTTTCGCAGATGAAAACTGGGACATGTGCATCCAAGCATCTAGAGAGTGCAGCAAAAGTTCTGAGCAAGGAAGAACATACAAGCTAGGTACGGTGATTCACAAACTCTGATCCTCCTGGTCTTTTGGACTTCAACTCCCAGAAGCCCCAGCCAGCTTGGCTGACAGTAAGGACTTTGAGATGCTGACGTCCAAAGCATTTGGAGGACCAAAGTTTGGGAACCACTGAGCTAGGAGAAGATAAAGCTGTTGGCTTTTGCCGGAGTCAACTGGGAAAGGCAAGGGTACACCTCTCCCTCTCCTCTCTTCTCCTCCCTGCTGAGTTAATGGAATGCATGAATGTTAATGGAGTGCATCCTTTTGTCTTTTGAATTCAGTTTGCAGCAATTGAAGGAAGCTGAGGACAAAGAGGGAAAGCGGGAGGAGGAGAGAGAAACTGGGACATTTTAAAAACAGCCGAGAAAGTGGGATGGCAGAGGAACAATTGGTAGTGTCCTTGCCAAATTGGGACAGTTGGAGGGTATGTTGTTCCTTTCTCCGGCTTCTCTCCAAGAACGCCTTGCTATTGATGGGAAACTTCAAAGCTCCAACTCTCACTTTTGAGGTTTGTTTTTTTTACATCACTAAATTGGGCTTGGACTATTTCTTGTGTGCCTTCAAGTTGTTCCTGACTTATGGTGACCCTAATGCAAACCTCTCATGGAATTTTCTTGGCCAAATATCTTCAGAAGAGGTTTGCCACTGTTGCCTTAATCTGAGGCTGAGAGAGTATGACATGCCCAAGGTCACTCAGTGAGTTTTTATGGCTGAGCAGGGATTTGAACCCTGGTCCTCCAGAGTCCTAATTTGACACACAAACCACTGCACCATGCTGGTTCTCTGTCTGGGCCAGACAACCCTGTTGGCAAATCTTTCGTTTGATTTAAAAATCAATGGATTGCCGTGCATCTGTTGCAATTTATTTCCCCGCAGCCCCGTCCTAAATTGCACAACCTTGAAAGGTTTTTGGTTTTTTTGCATTATTCCATTTTCTTGCCCTGCTTAGAGTCTACTTTCCTCCTCTCTTGGGGCATTCAGCTGAATTTAAATTTCAAAGGTGCTTTGAGAACGTAAATCCCACTGGGGGAAAAAGAATATCAAACAACAGACATCACTCCCCGTTCCTCCCCTATTATTTTGCCAGGAAACAACAACCCTTGGCCAATTGAGCTGTTCTACAAATAGCCGGCTTGTTAAGGAGACACTGCCATTTCTCCTTCTGTTCTCCCTTATTATAGGTTTAAATTTATCACCCAGGAAATTTACCTAAAATTAGCTCTGGGGAAGGCCAGACAATTCTCAGTGGGCACAATACACAACCACAACACCTGCCCATGGGCTCAAAATTTCGATCCACTTCATGTGATGTTTTTGATCATATTAGCCTCTATTCTCATTTCATGAGTTTCCAGTAGATTTGGGTCTTTCAGGAGTGGATGGGTTTAGGGAAGTGGTTCCCAGATTTTGGACTTTGGTTCCCAGAATTCTTGACTGTTGGCAAAGCTGGAGGACCAAACAGTTGGAGGACCAAAGATTGGGAACCCTTGGGTTCGGGGATCTCTATTAGGTAGCTTTCCAGATGTTGCTGAACTGCAGCTCCCCTCAGCCACAGCCAGCATAGCCAATGATGAGGCATGCTGAAAGTTGCAGTCCAACAACATCTCCAGATCTGGAAGGGTTCTCTTTGAGACAAACCATGGGAAGCAACAGTGATCAGGATGGCTGGAACCAAGGCAGGTTGCATCTTCTGGCCCAGATCTACAATCTTGAACAGAGCAGCAGCTGAAGAAGGTGGAAATGAAAACCCCTTGCTATAGTATTTGACCATTTCTGTATTGTTAAGCCATGTGCGTGTGCGTATGTGCGCGCGCATGCGGATGACACTCAGGACACATCCAGACAGATTTTATACTGGGTTGAAATAAATCAACCTGGGAAGCTGGTATAAAAAGTCTCTGCACCGAGAGGTGACGGCAAATAAACAAGACATGTATGGATCTCTGAAATAAAATCAGAAAGAACAAATACAAATCTGGGAGACTCTGGTCTTTTGATGATCAGTGCGGATGTGCCCTGCGAAAGGCGTTTGTTGCAATGGAACACTGCAGCTCAGAATCTGCCCACGGATTCTGCCAACCTGTCATTCTCCTGCTCCTAAGAGCCTCTCCACAAAAAGACAGATGTGACATCCCTCCAAGTTGGACAAAACAGAGAAATGAGCCTCAGGAGAGGCAACAGTGACTTTTCAGATATCCAGCAGAGATGTTAGCGCGAGGTCTCGGCAGAGCTCTGCGACCGACAAACAGTTTTGATTGCTTTGGAAGACAAAAGGAGGGAAATGGAAGCGACGAGGCTAAAGCAAGATAAAAGCTTTTTATCTGATGATTTTTTTAAAAAAAACCAGTTAAAACACAAACACACTATCATCTTAAAATGCCATTCATTTTAAAAAGCATAAAATCATTTAAAATTATAACAATAAAGATTTTAAAAAATACAGGACTCCCGCCCCCCCCAAAAAAATATGTCTCCCTGCAACCAATTAATGTTTGGAAATTTAGGTCAAAAAATGGACCCAAGAAAGCTGAATCAACATATCCATGGGTCAATGTAGGTACTATACTTTAACTCTCATTAAAAAAAGAAACCATCACCTGAAGAGTGTCATCTGCCCTGGAATCACTGAACCCCCTCTATTTTCTCATCCATCCAGCCTTTAGTATGAACACAAGTTATGCCTGCTGGAATTTTGTAAGTTCTTTGGCATTGTTTTTCTTTGCTTTGTCCTTTACATTCTTTGTTGCGTGCCCCGAAGTCTTACCCTTGACTTATCCATGGGTCATATCAAAATCCATAATTTTGGTCCCAAAACCTGCCCTCGATTTATACATGAGGATGACTTATAGTCGAGTATATACGGTATTAAACATCTGAATAAGGTCTTTGCCCACCAGCTAAAGGAAAGCAGAGAAAGGTCCAGTCTAGCCTTCCATGAAAGGGAGTTTCAAAGTCTGGGAGCAACCACTGAGAAGGCCCTTTCCTCCAGTGTCCTCACTGGATGTGCCTGGGATGATGGTGGGTTGGAGAGAAAGCTCTGTCTTAAGGATCCTAAGAGTCAGTTTGGTTCATATAGGAAAATAGTCTATAGTCAGGATAGGGCTTTATAGGTCACCAACAGCACTTTGAATTGTGCCCTGAAATGAACTGGTAATCAGTGAAGCTGTTTCAACAAGAGAATTATATGCTCCCTATAACTGGCCCCAGTTAACATTCTGGCCCCAACATTTTGGGCCTGCTAACATTTCTGAACTGTTTCCAAAGGGATGTCTTCTTGAGGATGGAGCAATTTTGCTCTCTTAAAGGCCCATGGATTTCCAAATGGTGAGTATCGAGGGGTTCATAATCTATGTGCCTTATCTCACGAGAAAACAAACTGTAAACCGAGCCAGAGAGTAGCAGCTTTCTCCACACCTTGCCGCATGATGTTATAGCACTTCAGTTCTCTTCCTGCAGGAGTCAGTTGTAAAAGCATATCTTTTGCTGAACTGATTTTTCCAGCTAGAAAAAAGATGCGCTTTGACAACCGTCTGCTGTGGGAAGAGAACTGAAGCGCTACGACGTCATGCGGTTAAGGCACAGAGAAAGCTACTACTCTCTATTTCCGCTTTGCTTTCTCATGTGATAAAGCTCAAAATCTTCCTGAAATGCACTCTCCACTCCACCATCCAATTGGACTATATCCTGCTGCCTGAAATACACTATCGCTATTAGTTCCAACCTACAGACCAGCTCAATAACCGACAAGTCCCTTGATTTATTGAGTCTGCATGGAGTGCTCTGTCAAGAGTGTCAGAAATTCCCCGGTGATCTATTACTCACCCAGCGGCACTCAGACACTTTTAACAGATGTAATAGAAACATATCGACAGTGACACAGCATGGTAATTTGGTGTTCTATACCAAGGCTGCAGAGCCGGTCTTGGTGGGGTGATGTGCAAAGCAAGATGCACATTGGCAGATGGAAATAAATCTTCATTTATCTTGTTTTCAATTCTGGCTCCTCATTGCCACATGGATCAGTAATCACCCCTCTCTCCCTGCCCCAAGCTCACACTAAAACGATTCCTTTGTGTATATGACTGATGTGCCAGGGTTCGTGCCGTTTCCGACCTTGCGCCTATGGGGCAGAAGCCTGGAAAGTTATTTTAAACATGACTGGAAAGTTACTTGTAAAGTCTTTGCAGTCAAGGTGAGATCCCACATCAAGGTTGTGCAGTCTTAAGCCTCGGCATATGGAGTTATGCATTCATTGTGCTACCTAGGCAGGATAGAGGTCCAAAGCGCACTGCAGAAATCATCCAGTTTGAGACCACTTGAACTGCCCTGGCTCAGTGCCAGGGAATCTTGGGAATTGGAGTTGATTGTGGCCCCAGAATCTGTATCCATGGATTCAACCCTCCACAGCTTGAAAATATATTTTTGAAATATATAAATGCCCAAAGCAAACCTTGATTTTACTGTTTTATACAAGGGATGCCATTTTGCAAAAGTGTAATCTGTCCTGGAAGCACTGACCCCCTTCTACTCTTTCATCCATCCATCCTTCAGTGTGAACGCAGTTATGCCTCCTACAATTTTGTACGTTCTTTGGCATTGTCTTCCTTTGCTTCATTCTTTAGATCCTTTGTTGCATGCCCCTAAGTTTTAC